CTGGCCGTTTTGTACGATGTAACGAGATTGTTAAGCCTCGGTGGAAATAGCGATATAAACAACGGATGTAATGACTCGCTGATGAAGATAGTGGCCACTAATCTCTCTTTCTCCCTCTCTTCTCTCTCCTAGTCGCTCACTCTCTCTCTCTCTCTCACTCTATCTGTCTCTGTCTCTGTCTCTGTATCTGTCTCTCTCTCTCCATCTATCTATCATCTCTATCTTTATTTATCTATCTTACATACATCTATCCATGTATCTCTCCATCCTTCATTCCTACACTATTCATTCTTGTATACACACCTCCTCCAAGAAGAACCCTTTACGACCTTTTATGACCTTTTACAACCCCCCTCTATAACCCGCCTCCCTCCTCCCTCTCCCCACTTTCCTTCACAAAACCAAACAAAACATAAAAACAATACTCAATCCATCCGTTCGCCCTGCGTCAGAGTGCCACAACGCCGGCGGTGCCATGAGGTGGTGAGGACCGTGGCACCCAGGTGGAGAGCCTGTGGGGGAGGAGGGAGGGGAGGGGGCAGAAAAGATAGGGGGAGGGGAGGAAGGGAGAGGGGAGAAAAGCAAGGAGAAGAAGAAGAAGGAAAGGAGAGGGAGAAGAGAAGATAAAGAGAGAGGACAGTCGGGGGTGAATGAAAAGATGGGACACGTGAGAGGAAAGATAAAAAAAATGAGAGACGAAAGGGCAGAGGATCGAGGATAGTGAAGGAGCAAGGAAAGAAAAAGGGAGGGGAAAGGAGAAGGGAGCGACGGGAGAGAAGCGAGAGAGATGGGGAGAAAGAAAAGGAAGAAAAGAGAGAAACGAGAAGAAGAAAATGGAGAGAAAGGAGAAACGAGAAAGGAAAAAAAAGACGAGAAGGTAGAGGCAAAGGACAACGATGCCCCCCCTCCCTAGTTACCAGGTATGGGACTTCCAACCGAGGCCCGTACCTGGCGCCCCCCCCCCCTCCACCCCCCAGGTAGTGCTTCAACGTGTCTCCCACGGCGCCTGCCTTTCACTCGTTTCCACTCGGTTTCCACCCTCGCCGCCGTCCTAGGTAAGGTAGCACAGGTCGGGTCGGTGGTCGGGTCGGGGTCGGGTCAGAGGTCGGGTTCAAGTCCGGTTCTCCTTGCCCGAACACCGTGACCGCCGTCTGTGCGCGCGGTACTGTGCACTGCGCGTCACTGTGGCCGATTTGCGTGGCTGGATTCATTGGGTTTCACTCTCTAGTTAACTTCATTATCATCAAACACTTATTTCTTATCATTACTATCAATCTATTTCGGGAGGGTTGTTACTGGGACATCTCTCTTGGCTACATAAATTTTCCGAGTATTTTTTTCATGCGTCAACTGTTCCTCGCGATCCCATTGGATCACAACACACAAAAAATACAGAAACAACCAAAGTGACAAACCACATGCTTTCCATTAAAACCGTGCAATCAAAAATAAATAAACAAACAAAATCAGATAAACAGAAGAAAACATATCACTTTCGGACAAAATGACCAAAACACATTCTCTTTGCAATTATCACGACAGGGCTTCTGTCTGTTTGTTTGTTTGTTTCAATCACCATAACGACCCTCCCGTGGTCACCGTAGCACCTGAGCACCGGACACAGCACAGCACAGCACACCCGGGGGGTATCCCACGTATTACCACTCGTGGAAACACCCTCCACAAAAAAGCAAAAAGGTAACAGCCAAAACAAAACAATTGGAGAGAATAAAGAGAACACAACACAACAACACCGAAGTAACACTAACACAACACACTCCAAGCACGTCGGGGCGAGAGAGCGACGGCGCGTGTGATCCGGGCACGCAACGAGAAGGGGTACACCGCGCATCACCACAGTCAAGGTACAACTGGTGGCCGTCGGGGCGCTGGTGGTAGTGGTGGTGGTGGTGGCGGAGGGGCGGAGGGAGGGAGGGGTGGAGGTGGCGGCGGTGGAGGGGCGGAGGGAGGGAGGGAGCCAGGGAGAATAGTAGTGGTGTTCGCGGAGAGAGGGAGAGAGGGAGAGAGGGAGGGAGGGAGGGAGGGAGGCGCACGGAAGGGAAGGGAATGGGAGAGGAGGGAAGGGCCCACGGACCGACAGACGGGCGCACGTACACACACGAACGCACGCCCGTAGACGCACACACACGGGGCCGCGCGAGGGGAGGGAGAGGAGGACCGCGCTCTCGTATGAAAGGGGCGCGCACAGGTAAGTTCTCTGGCTACCTATTCCCTCCTGAGTCCCGGATCTTACTGGCTTCTACTCCGTATCGAACGCGGTAATTAACCGATAAATATTTTTCATCCCTCCTTTTTTATTATCCTCCTTCCATCTCTCTCTTCCTCTTCCCATTCCTCATTAACGTCTTTTTCCCTCTTCTGTTCCATTATTATTTCGTATTTTTTACCATCTGCACCTGCGAATAATTGAACGATTACTCATACATTTTCCTTTCGTTTTCTCGCTGTCACTCATTACTCACAATTTGAAATCTATTACCTTCTCCAATTATCTTGCTTTAGCTATTCCTTCTGCACATGCGACTCTGCCGCCCTTTTCCTTTTCATCTCTCTCTTTCCCTCTTCCCTCACCTCTTCCAGTCTCTCATCTCCTTTCCTCCTCCTTCCCCCTTCCTTCATTCCTTCCTATTTTTCATCTCTCTCTTCTACTTTCCTCCTCCTCCCATCCTCCCTCCCCTTCCCCCTCTCTTCTTCTTCCTCCTTTTATCTCCCTCATCTCCTTCCCCTCCTCCTTTTCATCTCTCTCATCTCCTTCCTTCCTCCAACCTTCTCCCTTTCCCTCTCTTTCCTTCCATCCTTCCTTCCTCCCCTCCTCCCTTCTTTCCATCCTTCCTCCTTCCTACCTCCCTCCTTCCAGCACTTATGACTGGACACGTAATTAGCTCGCTGCGTTTGGGCCGCGAGCAGATGAGTTTCACCCTCAGCCTTCCTGGACTCACTATCCTCACAATCGTTTCCGCTCGCGCCATCCACCATGGCATCACCCCTCCGTACCCCCCTCCCCTGCCCCTTCCCTTCCCCACCAATCCTACCTCCCAATCTTACCCTTTTGTCCATACTTTCATCCCGTTACCTTCCCTTCAACCCTTACACTAACCCCTTAGGGACACTATCACCATCATAATCATCACCATCTCCCCCTATAGTCACCCCTCTCCCCATCTCCAAATCGTAGTCACCATCTTCACCACCGCCCACCCTCACCATCTCCCGCACTACAAGCATCATTATTTCCCATATCAATCAGTCTATCTCACTATTCCCACACTACACTCACCATCCTCACTATCGCCCACACTACACTCACCATCTCCCACACTACACTCACCATCTCCCACTACACTCAAATCCTCACCATCTCCCACACTACACTCACCATCTCCACCTAACTCACCATCTCCCACACTACACTCACCATCTCCCACACTACACTCACCATCTCCCACACTACACTCACCATCTCCCACACTACACTCACCATCTCCCACACTACACTCACCATCTCCCACACTACACTCACCATCTCCACACTACACTCACCATCTCCACACTACACTCACCATCTCCACACTAGCAACACCACCATCTCCCACCTACACTCACCATCCTCACCATCTCCCACACTACACTCACCATCCTCACCATCGCCCACACTAAACTCACTATCTCCCACACTACACTCACCATCGCCCACACTACACTCACCATCCTCACCATCGCCCACACTACACTCACCATCGCCCCACTACACTCACCATCTCCTCACCATCGCCCACACTACACTCACCATCCTCACCATCTCCCACAACTACACTCACCATCTCCCACAACTACACTCACCATCTCCCACACTACACTCACCATCTCCACACTACACTCACCATCGCCCACACTACACTCACCATCCTCACACCGTCCGAGCGCCACCGTGGCCGCCGCGTGGAAGGTCGGCGTTATGAAGGTCGCTTCCAAGGTCCTTAATTGCAGTGTTGCATGTCGATTCCCACGATGACCTTTACATCTCTTTTTTTATCTATTTCAATTTGTTTTTATCTATTATTGCTTGTATATTTTTATACTTTATCTTGATTTTTTCATTTCTTTATTCATTTTTTGGCTGATTTTCGAATACTATCTGTCTGTCTCTGTCTCTCCCGCCCCCTTCTCTCTCTCCGTTTCCTGACGTCGAATATTCTGTTCGCTCACCTGTTTTTTCCCAAACCTACCCCTCCACCCCTCTCCCTCCTTTCTCTACCCCCCCCCCCCGCTATCATCATTTGCATACCTAGGCAGCAAACGAGTGCCAAATAGAGCCATCATTGTGGCTGTTTATGCATTTCGAAATCTCTTTTATCTTTCTATTGTTCTTTCTTCCTCTTTCCTTCCTCATCTCTCTATCTTATTTCCCACGTCTCCTCACCCATTTCTTTTAACAGTTATATTCCCTTCGCACTTTTTCATTTTCTCTTTAATTCTCTCCTATTCTCTCTCCCTCTCCCACTTCCACTCGCACCCGCCCCTCTCTCTCTCTCTCCTCTCTCTCTCACTCTCCCTCTCTCCTCCTCTCTCCCTCCTCCCTGTCTCCCTGTCTCTCCCTATCTCTCTCCCCCCTCTCTCTCTCACATATTCCTTTTTAGGCCTCCATTCCCATCTTTCCTTCCAAGCAACTTTCTTTTAATATGAAAACGAAAATGTTTTTTTCTCGCGAGAAAAAAATAGAGTATTTCCCGAACCGAATAGCGAGAAAAGAAAGTANATATATATACACATACATACATAAAGTGAAATTTGCTTCCGTGTATGACATAACATCAGATTCAGTCAATCACCTGCTATGATGTCATTAAAGCTACTTGCATTTTTTCTGGAAATCAAATTTCGTTCTATGGACGGGTGCACTGTATTCATTTTCCATGAAAACTACAAATCAAATTAAATTAATTTGCTGATGAGGATTATGAAATGAAATAAAACCATAATTTGATAAAATAAAAAGGAAATTGGCTTTATCACTGTAACAATTCTGATGGTAATGTTATTTTGGAAAATAATGAAATCATTACACAAATTTGTAAAACCAAATCTGAAATTACTCCAAAATAATAATTCCATCAATTACAACATCCTTATTTCAAATTCACACAAAAGAGATATTAGATAATCTAATTCTTTGTCATAAATCACAAGTTTTTTTTCCCGGTGTACACAAGAAACTTTCCAAAATACAATAAGGGGAAGCATCTTTCTCTAAAAAAGATGCCAAATTCCTTCTCTTGCAAGGTTCTTGATTCCTTAAATTTCCTTTCGTACTTCACTATCACTGCTACCCCCCTGCACAATATCACTCAACCTGCCATTGATGATCCTCTCATAGTGGGAGCCGTCCCAGTAGCACCTGCCACACTGGGCACACACATAGAATGTCTCTGTTCTCAAGATGACTGCCTCTGCGATATGGGCAACCAAAACTTGAATGCCTTGCCTTGTGTATCCTGTTGATAGGTTTACCTCTCCCCCTTCACACTGAACCCACTTGTCAGGGACAGTATCTGTCATGTTGATATCAACATTCTCTTTCAAAGATCGGATGATCCATGAGGGTATGAACAAGTATGAAGCAGAGTTGCACTTAGGGCATCTTGCAAATATGTCTTTGACAGTTACTTTTACATTAAAGACATTAATTATCTCTTCAACTTGCTGATTTGCAGACTGGAAAACAAGACAAAAATATGTGAACAAACAAGTTTGAACTCTAACTGAAAGTAATAATCATATACTGAAATACAGTATAAATTCTAATTACATGAAATCACCTTGTAATGTGCATACTTTTTTTTTCTGTAAAGTGGTTCAACAGTGGTATATAAAAAAACTCTAGTGTTCTTATTCTTCCTGTTGAATAATTCTATTGATAATGACACAGGATGTAGGCCTAGGGTGGATTAAATTAATGCGAACACCAATTTTCTTAATTAAGCTATCAAAGAGACTTTAATAGTTAGTTGCAATATAAAGTATATCTAATATATAGTTATCAAGGAGTTTAATACATTAACATATTTAAAATATAAAGGCGATTCTATTTGAACAAAAATGGAACTTTGAATTCACAATTCATAAAACACAATAGTTATAAGACAGTAATACCCATACAAGTATGAAAAGTATATATTAGCTTCTGAAGATTTACTAAAACAGAAAAACCAAAAAAGTTGCCTTACTTCTTTTTGAACCATGTATATGAAGCTTGATGGGATAAATTTAGCCAACCTCTCATATGCACTTCCTTTGGTCAGCACAACCCTCTTTTCTTTTTCATAATATTCTATGCATTTATCACAGCTCTCTCCTGTCTCCAATGCTTCTGCATCTATTCCAAAACATCTGAGCTTCTTAGCTAAACCCTGTTGAATAATTTAAAAATGCTTAATTTCTTTCCTCTTTTTGAAGAAGAGTATAAACATGCAAAAACTCATAATACAAACTGAAAACAAGAAGGTAATAATCATTAAGCTTAAAGAAACAATAACTCACTTGAACCATTGTGTCACAAATCACATGAAAATCAGCAGCCAGGATGGGCTCCTTATTCATCACCTTCTGCATATCCTCATGAGTCTTTGGAATTTGCTTTCTGACTGGACGATCCTTCTTAACTTTTTCTTTTCCCTTCTTGGGTCTGATATTTCGCCAGTCTTCAATGTCCAGTTCTTGTGCCTTTTTACCTAGGAAAGTGTGTATGTCTATGAGGGACACAACATCCATAGTGGCATATCTGATCTGTGACTTTGTAAGGGGCCTGGCTGCCCAGTTGGAGAACTGATCAGTTTTATCTAACGGCAAACCAAAGCAGCGGTATACAAGGTCTGTTAAACCTTTGTAGTTTGAAGAATTGTGAGGAAAGACTTCAGGGTAATCCTCCACCAAAATCCCTTTTATTTGATCAAGGTCAATTACATTTTTGGCATTTGCAAATCCTTTTTGTACTTCACTATGTAGTTTGGCAAGGATCTTAAAATCTCCTCTAATGCCATATCCTATCTTGGTGATTTTTGGATTAGAAAAGAGCTGGCCAATGCAGGACCAATGTGAGTCTTCTAGCAAGGGCTGGAGAGCCACTAGATCCAAAAGGAAAACCCTGGACTGTGTGGCCATTTGAAGGAGTGATGCTTGTTCTGCAGATCCAATGCCAAAAGTTGGCTTCCATTCACTATCCATAGCAATGACAGGACTCTCCATTAAAAGTGACATACATTTTGTGAACTCCTCAACTGAGGTAACTATCACCACTTCCTCTAAAGGTACATTAAGTGAATAAAAGTCCAATCTACCATCATCCCAACATTCTTCCTCTGCCAACTGTTTGACTGAGGCAGCATCCATGTTTCCATCTGTGAGATGAGGCTTTGCACTAATTACTTCCTTTATTCTTACTGGAATATCATCAGCGTGAAGCTGAAGCTTTCTGACATAGGGGGCAGCAGCTTCTAGATCATGGTATTCATCAAAGAGGTGCATTAGGTCTAGTCCAAGGTGTGGGCTCTCCTTCAGGGCATCATCTATTAGACTCTGAAATGCTTGAACCTGAATGCCTTTCTCAATGTAGTATTTGTAAAAAATGTATCGCAAAGCTCCTCTGGCTCTATGTTTCTGCATGTGTGGACAGATGGATGCATCCAAGTCAAATTTTTTCAAAAGTTTAGCCACTGTATTACAAAGCATTTTACTAGATTTGACTTTCTTTGGGTCTTTGATTTTGTATGTTTTGTGAAGATCATTGATGTTTACTTGTTTCCCAATAATATTGTCTATAAAAGACAAAATTTCCTTTTGGTGTCTGGGACTGGTGAGAAGAAACTCATCTGCCAAAGAGAGACGATCTTGTAGAAAAAGTGGCACAATCAGGTCTTCAGTGGAAAACTCATCCTGCAGATTTAGGAGGGTTGCTAGAGTGGCTACTTCCTTCAGCTGTCCCTGCGTCTGCATTTCCTGGATATGAGGTAGAAGCAACATCTTGATTCTCTCTAATTGAAAGGCCTTGACAAAGAGCCTCATAAGACCAACATTCTTCTGCCTCACAGATACATGGAACATGTCAACTTGCAGTGCCTCATTCAAGCAATGCTCATACTTCTGGTAGTTTCCTTTCCCTAAAAACGACATCAACTCAACGATGATGTTTGCTGGCATTCCACTTGATCGATTTTTAAATAAGTCTGGGCATAACTTAATACAGACGGAAACCATTTTATAGGGGTCAGCAGCTACATTGAGACTTTCTTGCATATATCTTGTAAACTCTGGTTTGTTACCATCTTTCCAGAGAGAATTCAAGGCTAAGAAAGTGCTTGTATAATTTTCCATTTTTGTTGAATATGGCACATCCAGATCTGTAAAAATAAATTAAGCAATTGAGATTCATTTAGGATATCTAAAAAACTACTGATTGTATATGCATGTACGTATATGTGTAGTGTAGTGTGGGATTACAAACATAAGTTGTCTTATGAACTCATACATTGATAAGTATAGGTCTATCTTTCTGTCTTTCTTTCTCTCTCTCTCTCACTCTCGTTCTCTCTTGCACTATCCCTCTCTCTCGTCCTCTCCCTCTTTTTCTCTTGCCCAATCTCCCTCTCTCTCTCTCTT